CGGTCTTCATATTAGCAGGAACTATTCAGGTTCGTGCAGCGGCCGTAACTGCCCTCGCTAAATTCGGCGCTCAGTGTGCTGAGCTACGCCCTTCAATTCAGGTGCTGCTGAAAAGGTGCCTCCTTGATAGTGATGATGAGGTGGGTGGATATATTTCTTACCTTTGGATAGCTTCTATGATGAGAAGCAGTTTTAGGTTCGTGATCGTGCCACTTTCTACCTCGCATTGCTGGCCGATGCTACCGTACCGATTATCAACACTTTCGTGCTTGATAGTCTCCAGGTCTTGCCCATTCTATCTTAAATCTCTTTGTGCAGCTCATTATGGAGATCATATTTTCAGGTACTCCCATCATCCTTGGAGCGCTGTCTATTCGAGTACGTCCGCGGAGATTCCTTTAACACTCCGTTCGATCTTCGCGTAGTACCAGTCACCAGCCAGCCGCTTTCGCTGCCTGAAAAGCGCGCTCCTGTGCTGGCTGATGTACCAGTGGAGAAACCGGCCGTGAAGAAAGAACCTTATGCAGGTAATCTATGTTCACAATTGGCGACTTGATTAACAGACTCTTCTGAACCTCTCACATATTTGACTTGCCAGGAAAATGTTGTCGACGGACTACTTGAACTCAGCCCTTTAAACCGCCTCTGCGCTCTCTCGCGGGTCCCTCTCCTCTCCAAGGCTTAGTCCTAGGGCATTCACCCGTTCTCTAATCGTCTGTGCTCTAGCCATCGCGGCAGGACCATTGAGGAAAAATCAAGTAGTCCGTAAACCGGAAAATGTGGGACCTGCCTGTACCTTCTATTGAACAAATTTAAGTTTGTAAATGTTATTTCTGATCTCTGATTCTTAGGGAATCAGCGATTTCAAGTTCGTTTTGAAAGATATGCCATCTCTGTTTCTCCTGGGATAATAATGAAATCGAGAGCCTTCGAAGGGGAACTAAAAACCTGTCGAGAATGTTCAATACTGGATTAGTAACTTAATCATGAAACGACGTTTCACTTTCAGGTGTGGAGTGTCAGACCTGACTGATGCGTTGTAGGATTAACGTTGATTCTCTTGCTTATGGTTTTTATTTCAGAGCAACTAGCTCAAATTCCTGAGTTCGCTTCTCTCGGACCACTTTTCCATTCTTCACCTCGTGTTGCTCTCACCGACGATGTGACCGAGTACACTGTCCACGCTATCAAGCACATCTTTACCAACCATGTTGTGGTGCAGGTATGACATTTCTAATTTGATTTTTGAGTTTATTTGTTCAAATAACCTCGTTCATTTTTGGCTGCGATTCAATGCAGATTTTTTCACGATCATGAACTTTTAGCTTGATTGCAAGAACACACTCAATGATCAGCTGCTCGAGAATGTGACTGTGGAGCTTGAAGACGGTGAAGGAGAATGGACTACGGAACATGTAATTCCGATTGATAACCTGCCTTATAACGAAACTAAGTCTACTTACGTGCTGATGGAGTTCCCAGAATCAGGTGAATTTTACCTTCCTTCATGTTCGGTATCCTAACCTTACTCCATCTTCATAGGACACTTCAAAGATTCCATGGTCATCTTGAACGCTATTTTTCTGCTTATGCGTGAAACTTGATTGGTTTCTACTGAGTTTAAAATTTGTCAGAATCCTCAATTTTACTATAATTCATATCTCTCAGCCAAAACTTTACGACCACTTTGACCTTGTTTTCAAGGTTCGGTCACTGGAAACTTCGCTGCAACTCTGAAGTTCAATGTGAAGGATGTTGACCCAACAACGGGTGAAGCTGAATCGGATGATACCTATGAGGATAGCTATGTGGTAAGATTTCCTTATGCTTGTTGTCTATTTGCTTGCTTCATATTTAATACTGAGCGGTTTGTAGAAATTTTTGGTTATCTATGCTTTCGCGCATGGTTGATAAATAGTAATATTTTTTAGCTAGAAGAACTCGAAATTGCCGTGGGTGACCTGGTTGCACCAGTCGTGAAGCAGAATTTCATGGCATCGTGGGAGGCACTCGAAGGAGCAACAACTGTCGACGAAACCTTCCATCTAACGACGGTTAATACATTAGCGGAAGCGATTAAGAAGGTTAGATTGGTCGCTCTTAGTTCACGTTTATTAAGTACGTTCGTTAGGTGAGCTGCATAAATGTTACGGATTAAGGATCAACGAGAAGATTTGGTTAACAATTACGGCCGTGCTTATACAGCTGTGTTGAACGATTCATTTTTAGGTGTCAGAACTTCTCGGAATGGCCCCTTGTGAGCGTAGCGACCGCGTTCCCGAAGGCAAAACGCAACACTCCACAATGCTAGCAGGGGTTTTCCGTGGCGGATTCGAGGTACTGT